AGGTATTTTTTTCTACTTTCATTGTATTAGAATCACAAACACACTTTGTATGATGTGAATCATTTAAAAAGTAACAACACCTGTTTTACAGGTAGAATATGGTCTGTCTTTATAAATACCATAGTCTCTTGAGACTTTAACAGAACCGCATTTAATTCCAATCATTTTATTTTGAAACTCTGGGTCATGGTTAGTGTTTTTGTGTTGTTTTATTTTTGTCTATGTTGTTACTATTTTGTTATTGCTTTTTTATTCTCTTTAAAATAAAAAAAAGAACGCCTACTGCATGTTCTTGGTCATTGTTGTAGAAATGTCAAACAATTCATATTTGTAGTTACCATCATTTATGTCTCCCACAGATTTGTCAAATTTCTACTTATTCTGCATATCATGCAAGAGGCCAGTAAAATTGCTCACTACATCATGGGTTTGTCTAATTTTCTTTATACTTCTATCAGTTTTGCTTGATGCATTTAAATCTGTGTTATCTCATGCATCAATGTTTAGCATAGCCACATTCTGCTCAAACACAGATCCTTCATTATAAAATGTACTTAACCTGGATAGTATCCTTTGCACTCAAGTGTACTTTGAATTATATTACAGTGGTACCTCAGTCCATGAACATAATTTGTTTTATGACCTGGGGGAAGATGGCTGCATTTGTACTCAGGCAGGCAAGTTTGCCAGAGTTGCCTTTGTCAACTGATGTGCAGTTTGTGCATGGAAGGAAAACATTCGTGAGCACTTCTGTTTGGGATCCAAATTACTTGTGAACAGAAGCATTCCTGAACTGAAGCACTGACTCTATTACAGCCATCCAGGTATGTTTTGAGTACAGAGGTGAATGATGGCCCTGTTCTCTCTGTTAACTTTGAAAATATACATTTTCTTATGCTCCAGGGAATTTCTTGAAAATAATATGTAATACAGTGTCTTATGTTTTCTGGAGGTCTTCCAAATACTGATTATTCTTGGTGACATTTTGACTTGTGTGAATTTGTTACCAATCACAAGATTTGTAATTTAAAGCCTCATATTTGCATCTCTTTCCATTCTTGAGTAAAAAATGCAAAGTGATGATGTTGGCAGGTACTCTAAACTGATACAGCCATTGTAGAAATCAGTATGAAGATTCTTCAAAAAACCAAAACGTAGACTCTGCATTTGACATGGATATTTCCTTTGTAGGTGTCTTCCCAAAGGAGTTCAAGACATCACAGAACAATGATGTATGTGTACCCATGCTTCTATCAGCACAATTCATAGTAGATAACTCTTGGGAAAAGCTTTTATGTCTATCAACACATTAAAAAGTGGATAAAAATCTGTGCTATTTATACACAATGCAGTACTACTCTGCCACAAAGAAGAACAAATGAGTCATTTGGAGGAAAATGGATGCTCCTTAATTTGATAATGTTATGTAAGGTCACTCAGATGCACAAACTTAAATATCACCTGGCTTCCCTTAACAGAAAAATAATTTATATATCACAGAATAAAAGACAGATAATAGAAAAAGTGAAGTGGAAAGAAAGAAAGAAAGAAAGAAAGAAAGAAAGAAAGAAAGAAAGAAAGAAAGAAAGAAAGAGAAAAAGAAAGAAAGAAAGAAAAAAAATTGAACAAAGAAAGAAAGAAATAGGAAGAAAGAAGAAAGAAAACATTTGTAATACAGAATGGAAAATATATCTAAAAGTATACCTTGACTTCTTGACTTAGTATAATTGCTTCAAACGTTTTTCAGGTCCTAGGGCTTATCTGTCTGCTTTTCAATATATATATGAATTCCTAGGCTCTTGTAGGATAACTAAAGACATCTGATGTTGGAAAAATAAAGCCAGAATGGAAGGAAGGGAAAAGAAAACTGAGAAGTTACATATGCATACCAA